ATCACAGAAGCAGGCGTTGATCCGACCCCCAAATCCTGCCCTATAATAGCACGGCTTAGATATGTCTCCGTCGGCAGCGCACTGTCGGATCACTCGGTGGTGTTTATGGAGACCTAAACAACATACAGAATATTTAGCATAATATACGTAAAAATGCATCCATTTTGCAGACCTTCGCCGCCGTCATAGTCGACCCATTGGTCTATTTTTCTGCAGCCGATGATAGCCGAGCCCTCCCACGAATTGGTGCAGTTCTTGACGAAGTTCTGCGGCTTATCGGCACAATCGGGGTCTACGAAGGAATTGCATTCATAGCACGCGATTGGAGTGGCTTTTGACAACTCCGGCGGACCGTCTCTAGTGTGGGACAGGGCGTCCGAAAAGCCATTGGCCGCCAATTGCGGTGATGTATGCAATAGTTTTGTTGTCACCGATTGTTCGGCTGTTTTCACATCGGTTTGTTGAGCAACACCTGAATTGGTGTGAAAATTAATGCATTATATTATGTTAAGCCATGATTTGCCATTTCGTTAGATTGTAATTAATTATTATTTCCATTCTTACAAAACTGCCGTCTCATGAGATATTGGTATAAATATTTGCCAATAAAAATATCTGTATCTAAACTATCAGTTTGTCATTCAATGAATTATAATTTTTTTTTCTAAATCTAATTCAGAAATTCAATGCTAAAACATGTTCGCTAATCGTAGTCTTGAATTGCTTTTAAATCATATTTTATTTATTGTAGATACTATGTTATAATAAAGTAGATATTTTTCTGGGTTTCTAACATTAAATGTTATAAATTTTTAACTAAGTCTATAGTTTATTAATTTGCAATCAATTTAAAACTTCCACTAGATCTGAATATTTATTACTAATAAAGTATTATAAAATTAGTTCAAATATAAAATGCTATCAAGTTATTAATTAAAATTGAGAGCAAAAATTTATATAAATTGATAATTATATCAATATAATAAAGGATAATAAGTGATTAAGTATAATTTTTGAAATAAATACGTTTAACTAACATTCATTCATAAAATAAAATGAATTCTCTTTTAATGTATTTGACATTTACATGATTTGATTGATTAAATAGTATTGCTATTATCAAATTGATATGTATTTCCTGTTTTTAAAATTCATTGAGAAATTAAAACTGAATAATTCTACAGTTATTCACATATTTCTATGTATATACAAGCACAGAATATTATTGTAGACCTTATTTTATAGTTTCATGCTATTACAAATCATTAATTTTAAATTATTTATACATTTAATTGGTATTCAAAGGTCAACATTTACTTTATATTTAATTATGTGTATTAATATTTGATTTAAAAATAATTAATTTATTAATTTGATTGAATTTAGCTTAGAGATTGTATAACTTTCAGATCGAAATAACTCAAGTAATTTGTTTTACAAAAGTTGATTGGTGATGTACACGAATTTGAATTATATAATATAGTAACATAAAAACACTTATATCGATATAATTTATTTGTTTTAAGTAAACAAATAACTTACAATTTAGTTTCAATAAGAGTATTATGTAATAATATTCTGTTTAATTTTGTATACAAAACTTTAGTCCTTAACTATAGAGTAGATTATATGTCAACTCATTATGTGTTTGTTTGATAATCTATTGAATTTTTTTGTAAACTCTATCATAACTTATCCCTTGAATTAATGATTTTTTGCTTTTGACAAATACTACCAAACATGTATGTCAAATATTATGTCGATACTAATTTAATATGAACTCAAAAATACTAAACTTAAAATGTTTTTATCTTTAAAGTTTAAACTAACTTATAATACCTCTAGTTCAAAATAATTTAAGTTAAATAAATGAAAATGTATAAATTTTGAATAATAATAAACAAATTCTAATAGTTTAACAATATAACATTAAACTCTCAGGATGTTTTTGTTATCTTCTAACGTTAGTATTATTACGATATATTCAGATGTTTACAATTGTAATGTATAATTTATTTTGATTCTTTAATCCACTTTTATTACATCTTAGTTATTTTGTTACATAAAATATAAGTACAGTATAACATACAGTAAGTGTATACTGTATTAAAGGATTTATTCATATTTCGTTATAATATGAGAGCATTTAATTAATTAAACAGAAAATATAAGTAATAAATACTCACAGAATAAAATTTGTTGATTTATAAGTAGTATAAAAGCAGTGATTAGAGTAATACGATTCAATTGCATACTCGCAATCATTGTTACAGAAGTTTTTGAATAATGAATTTCAATCAAATGGATCCAAATTTGGACAATAAGTGAGTTTTGAAGGCAAGAAAAGTGTGCACTTTATTAGAGGCAATGTTTATATAATTTGCTGATTGTATATAAGATGAGACGATTGTCGAGTGCTTTTTGTTTCTCCTATTTCTTCGCTCCCTTTCTCTGTCTCTCCTCTGAATCC